GGGATATTTACACATAGTAATCCTTATTACAGTAGAAGTGTTTTGTATCATTTGCAAGAAAATGTTGTCAAGAAATGAGATATTGTTTTTTTTTCAAGTATCACAGCCTGTAGTCAAATAAATGGCACTGCTGAGGAGTCCTATACTAGGACGAAATGGCAATCCAGTGCTTACAGGTTTTACATGGTGGTCTAGCTTCAATTGACTCATGATTTCAACCTGCGAAATAAATAGTTGTGTAATTTTGCAAATTTCTTAACATTAAAGTTGTTCTCAGTTCTATATTGTCTATTCTATTCTGCTGACCAGTAAATAATTATTATAAGTAAAGTTATCTGTGTATGTAATAGTGTAAATCATTTATTGTGCTTGGAAAGTGTATTGTTCAGTTGATAAAGTGTTCACTTTTACGTACATATATATTTTTTGCATAGTGTAAGTAGCAAATGTTCTTTAAGTAAGTAGTGTAGTAAACGAGAACAGCAATGGGGACAATCAAATTTATTTTAAAACAACATTACAGTATATCTGGGTAAAATCTGTGATATATACATTAAATACTTCAGTTGCAAAATGTTAATCAATTGTCTCAGACTTCACTATTCTTTCATTTCCATACCAATCCCTCTATGTTCTCGTTCTCTTCTCTTTAATTTTCTCAACCTTCTGTTTCCAGGCACTCCGCTTTCGATTGATGATATATACTACTTATATCTGTTGATACACCACAGTAGGACGAAACCATTATCTTAATTATTTAAAGTGATTTCATAATGACAACATAAACGTTCATAACATTTTAAATATTAAATGTTACATTTCATAAATTCATTACTATCTACTTTATATCATACAGTTTATCTTGATGTAATTTAAACAACTTATTAGTGAATTGCGATGTACTTCTTAGACTTTCACATCATATGTCATTTTTATAATGGTTTCATTCCCATTACTAAAAGACCAACGTCAGAAAGGGTTTAGTGGAGATTTTAGTAATTTCAATAGTTGAAACCATCAGTCAACCTGGAACCACTGGAGGGCCGTTTCGTTCTAGTATGGGACTCCTCAACAGTGCGCATCCACGATACCCCCCCCCAAGATTCTAACCTAGGACCTGTCAGTCTCCCGCGCGAGCGCTTAACCACTATTGAAATTATTAAAATCTCCACATAACCCCTTCTGATAATAATCATCTGCTCACTAGTGACTGATTTCAAGAGGCATTTCATGGAGTTCTAGTGAGAAGCCGTTACCAGTGCAGTTCAACTAGGTCTGTTGTGAGATATCAGCTCACTGAAAGCAATGGTGTACGGTGGCGCGATTTCGTGGATTGGTTGAAGTTATACATTAACACCGTTGAATTCCAGCTGGCTCAGTGGTCTAATGGTTAAGCGCTCGCTTACGAGACTGATAGGTGTCGGGTTCGAGTCTTGTGGGTGGGGGGCGGGATCGTGGATGTTCACTGCTGAGGAGTCGCACACTAGGACGAAATGGCCGTTCAATGCTTGCAGGTTAGGGTTTAGCTTGAATTGACTCATGATTTCAACTACTGAAAGACTAATAGTTGAAGGAAGAATATTGTTTTCGATAAATTCTCTTCAGGTTCCACAATCTATATATCCGAATTAATAATCCGAAAATTGGTTAAGTTAAGGGTTAAGTGCATTATTACTCCCAAAACATTAATCGGTTGGATCCCCATTAACAGTCGGTTATGTGCCGTTAGATTAGAAAATTCCATCAAAGTGAGAAGAAATCGGCGCGAGAAACGATGTCTTTTCGTCATCTCGGCCTATGCCCCGACAGATTGCAGTCATGAACTTTCCTTGAAAAAAGCTTGGGCTGGATTGCCAGGCGAAACGTTGGATTTATTTCGAATTCTTTTGCTGAGATTTTACAAATACATTCTTCTTCAGTATACGCCCTTCTATACTTTTACATAACGTCACAAAAGCCGAGTTAAGATCAATCTTATGGCCTATTTTATTATAATATGTTTAGCAATAGAGGATGATGGATGTTTATCCTCTGCTCTTATTAAGTCACTTGATTGTATTTGTTTCTGCAACCATTTTGGTACATGTTCACACACCCTAATTTCGAGATCACGATTGCTCCTCCCTATGTATGTGTGATCATACACATATTTAAATTGGTAAACACAATGGGGTGTGACACAACCGTTTTCATGTCTTTTAGGTTTTGGATGAAGCATGCACCTTTTTCTTTCTTTGATAATGACCTTTGCTGCGTAATACGCTTTTTTGACAAGTTATTTAAGCTTTTGTTGCAATAAAAGGCTATTTGAATCGCCTCTGAATGGTAAGGTGATGTAGACAAGTTTTTTTTCTAGCAAGACCACAGTAAGTCTCACTGTACCATGGACTTTCCATCTATTTATGAATTTCAGAGGATAGCCATTTTCTATTAATGTTTTATTCAGCAACCTAACATCATCATCAATGGCGTCATTTGTACGAATACGATCAAGCCTGTTGAACAGACACCTTATCAAACCACGTTTATATTGCACAGGACAATAACTATAATAACTAAGGTATTGACCTGTCCATGTTGGTTTTCTAAAAATGGATCGCTTGACTGAACCATCTTCTCGTCTACTCAGAAGTTCTGATAATTTTTGTCTTCTTATTACATTACCGAAATTTATCAAACAGACTAATTGCTTTGAATTTAGAACTGTTAAACAAAATAGAATAAAATTGTTAATGTTAATATGTCTCATATAAAATGTCAGTTTGAATCAGCTTATATGTTAAGTGAAAATTTAAGATCTATGATCCGAATAAGTATGGGTCAGATAGGGTGAGAGAAATAATAGTGCAATTACAATTCGACCAAATATTAAATGGAAGACTATACTGTGTAAAAAATTATTAGTGAGACATAATAAGCTGGGATGAATGCGAAGTAAATGTATTGGGGAGAATAATGATCACGTTTAACCAATAGTAATAATAATAATAACACAAAGATTTGTGAATAAAGATAATAGGGACAATTACATTTGAGAAAAGACTTTGCCGTATTGCGGAGAGTGCTGAAGGTAGTTAGCAAGGTGTGTGGTGAATCTTTCGAGGTCATTATTAATATGACTATGGATAGACATCTAAAGTTTTTCAAACTCCTGGCAGGTGTTATCATATCAGATACTAACTATCCCTTTCACTCATATCTTTCTCCTTATATATCTTCTGGTAGAACAAGACATAAATACATTAAAATCCATGCACGCAAGCAAAGGTATAAAAGTTATATAATACCTTACCCAGCAAGAATACTCTGTAACGAACAGGTTGTTAGAGTTAACCTAGTCAATAACCTGTATTCTCAAACATATGTCTAATTTGAAAAGTTGTACACATTCAGATCTTTTTTCACCTTTTTCTTTTCTTGCTTTTTACGAAAGAAACTCGTTGAAATATCTCTTGCTGACAATTCTATATTGTACCAAAATATAATATTAAATAAAGCCATTATTAATCATGATAATAATAAAGGTCGTAAGTACAACTGTCCAATTAGGTCACTCAACAGCTAAGATTAATTGGTGTTGAGGTTGATCAGGGGAGGAGAAGCATAGCTCAGGGTTCTTCATCCGGATGTCTACTGCCTTTTGGCCAAAAGGCAGGCTTCCACTCGAGAACAACTATATTTTCTCCATGAGTGGATGCCTATTGCTTCAGCCGTTTGAAGGACTTTAAGTGTGGCAAAATTTGGCGAGAAATTACTGGCCCGATAAATAATTGAAAAGGATCGGTTTATACTGACACTATGAGCAGTCTGAACTAAATGGGCCGAGCTGTTCACTTTCTTCACCAAACATTTGCTCAGCCACGCTGAGAGGTGTTCGCTAGCACGGAAATGTAAATTCCTAGAATTTCGACTAATATATGAATGCTTTTAACCTGTAAAAACTCAACATTTAGTTCTGACATGAAATGTTCATTTTTTGTTTTGTTTTGTTGATAAGACAACTAAATGTGAATAAGGTCAACTGTATGAATACTTATTCATTATTCAAGTTAACATTTACTCTTATTATACAGTTAAGTGTTCATTCGATGATATAAACTATAAAAATGTATCACTATGATGTGAACTATACTCATATTATTCTAATTATTTTCAAGTGAATATGAACCATATTTACTAGGGCTTGACAAGAATTAATTTGAGTGTTAGTTTAGTTGACCTTAATCAAAGAAATACATTTTGTCATAATGAGCTTATCTTATTACATAATTTTCAAATTATGGTAAAATAATGCAACATAAATAATAACTGAAACTTAATCTTTAAGGTCAAGGAATATTTTAATTAGTATTGACTATATTGTAATAAGTATGATCAGAATCCACAAACACTGATAAAGAGTATAATCATTATTATGTGTAAATCAAAACTTTAATAGTTGAATTCATGAGTTGGTCTAAAGTAGATCACCATTGAAAACCTGGAGGCACTGGATGGCCGTTTCGTTCTAGTATGAGACTCCTCAAAATTAACATGATCACATATACTAAGAGAACAAATGTTTATCGATGAATGCAAGAATAACTTATTTTGTGCGCATATAATCGATGGTTGTCAATAATAAGCTGGACGTATTTTTATGTTTTCATGCATAAATATTACACCGTTTTGTTAAAGTTTCACATGTTCAAGTATAAAGCCTTAAAAAAATGCATACTACAGGATAACTCTATGGTTATTATAGTACTTTAGATGAAAGGGTTATGATGTATATGTACCGAAAATCATGTCCAAATGATGCTAAGTATTAAGTACACGGACAGACTGTAATAACATTTTATTGCATTTAACTACATCTTTATTTTGCTTAGTAAGTACAAGCCATACACCTGACAGTAATTATTTAACATTGCAGGTCCCGTCAAAACCGTTATCTTTCACCGAACATTTTAACCACATACAGTGAGTATAAACATGAAATATACTACTTATACATTTCACCACATGTTTTTTGTTAGCTAAAATACAAGTCCAACTTTTATATAATCATTGATTGGTTGTTATATAGTCAAAGAATTCGACAAACTTATGAATAAACCGGAATCAAAATTTACACGTAAAATATCAAAACAAGAGAAGTCTTTGTGTTCATCATTTTTGCTTCAGAGTTATCACAAAAATATCTTCAAGAATGGAATGTGATTGAAATATCTTATTTTTCTATTATATATCCGGAATCTTGTATACTAGGAATATACGGTCGTCTTTGATAAAACAAAAATTATAACCTGTTTCATGACAATAACGTGACCAATATCGACCATAGATGATGATTACATTCCATAACTTTCCAAAATACTTATCCAATTCATCTTTCAAGAACTCAACTAATTTCTAAATCAAAATAAAAAAAATAAGTGAAACAGATCAAGTGATTGTTTTATGTTTGAAGTGCTACATTCTGTGTTATGTAATTTAACTGAGTAGCTTTAGTCATTATTCTAAATATAAATAATACCACTCAATACAAGCGAAATGAACGGTAAAAGATTAAGTCATCCAGCACAAGAGTCGAGGAAATTCTCTGGCGTTTTACGACGTATTGCTGATAAACTTAAGGTTTCAGTTCAGTCCTCTAATTATTTAACATGATCACTCAAGTCTAGTTATGGCAGAAACTCACTAATTTGTCATGATAATGTGGACGAATGAAATGATTTCAAACAGCTGATTTATCAAGGAATAGATGAACAAATATAATGCGTTTTCTTTCAGTATGCATTTTATAATTACAGGATTATTATTTGGTCAGGTATTGCATTTTATTACCTCAAACATATTTCCTAACCTCAATACATTTGATTTGGAATCTTTTGAAGCTTATATACAGTCTATTCAACAAGTACGATATTCGATGTACCTATTGCTGGTAATCTGTGTGTCGCACATCATATGCTTCCATCTGAAGGGCAAACAGTAGATGCTGTCTTATACTTAGAAATTCTCAGACACTTTAAGAATCCTATGAAATGTGTGCTATACAGATGGATTGTTTATGTATCATTATGATGTTGGTACATTAAGCAATGTGTCCGAAAATTTCTGACTTGTAATTCCATCGCTATGTATGTTCATCTTCTGTGCTAACCAGACTTACTTCATTTTAATTTTTGAAATCCTCAATCACCGTTAAAAAAACAATCATGTACCTAAGAAGACTGATATTTGAAGATTTTCAAAGATGTTTCAATTAATGAAAATGAAGATTTAACATTCGATTAAGACTGTTTTACTGTATTTGTTTGAAATACCGTAATAACATATGTTTGAATACGGTAGGGAATTATCAGCTCAAAGTGTGAAGTATTGTTACAAATTCTTCTCTAAATTAATTATCTTAATAGTAGCAGTCCTCAGAAACGTATATTAAAAAACCCTATATCTGCCATTCATATTCAACCGCAAATTTGTTTCGGCAAATTCTGAGTATTCAATGTTTTTTTAATTATTGCAATGTATGTACACAATAAATGAGATATTAGAGCATATCACTAGTTTGATATATGTACGTCAATATAAATGTGATTTTTTCTTGTTCCGCTACGAACTAAAGAAGTAAGAAACTATTCCAACAACAAAAGCGTTACCGTTTTAGTTTGCATTATTTAGTATGACGATAGTTTGTAAGATTTTCGTTGAAGCTTATCATTAATTCATGTAATCAACAGATTCAGTTTACTAATTTTAAGAAACTGCAAAACAAGAAAAAAATTGTGACATTTGAATGAATTGAAACGAAGCAGCCGGAATACTTGGGCAAGTCACTAAAAATATAGTGGATTTGTGTAAACTAGACAGATTAATACTATATAATTCAAGATTAAAAGATAATGAGTTTCTATGGTTTTTCGCGTTTTTCAAGTTGATGTGTTGAAAATTTAAAATTTCTTCCATTGCTTACAATGGATGTAATACATAATATAGTCAAACTTTAATGTTATTAAATTCATCGGTTAACAGATAAACCGACTAATCACATAATTAAGTATCAGAAGGGGTTTTGTGGAGATTGTAGTAATTTCAATAGTTGAGATCATGAGTCAATTGAAGCTAGACCACCATGGAAAACCTGGAACCACTAGACGGCCGTTTCGTTCTATTGTGAGATTCCTCAGCATTGCGCATTCACGCCCCTACCCCGCGAGATTCGAACACAGGGCCTACCAGTCTCGCGCGCAAGTGCCTAACCACTAGACCACTGAGACGGCATCCAACGGTGTTAGTGTCTAATTTCAACTAATCCACGGAAAGTTACTGCAGACACATCACAGTTTATATACTAAACAAATTCGTATCGTTAACGCTAAATGAATATATATATATATATATATATATATATATATATATATATATATATATATATATATATATATTTCTTCGAAGTTAGTTTTCATCCTCAGGTTACATCAGTTGTAGATCTATTAAAAAAAGTCGGTTTCGTCCTGTTTGTTAATTATACAATGGTGTGTACCCAAAACCTCACTCAGGATTGAATCCCGTACATCGAATTATTGAAGTAGGCATGACGACATTGTACCACTTAATTGGAATTAAGTGGTTCATGCTTTTAAATTCATTCTCTTCTCGAAGTAGCGTGAGCAGTATGTTATGAAATAAGGAATATCTATTTTAATATAGATTAAATTTCACAAATTATACCATGTAAATAAAACGTGCGTAAACCATCTCGAATTCCCTCATTATTAAGTGATCGATTGCTACTTAGGCAGATAGTTTGTGGTGGTGTGATTGACCCACCAGGGTGCTGGGTACTTGTGTGGTTGCGCCACAGGATTGAGCTGTACTGTTTGAGTTATCACATGAAAGTCTGTATGGTGTCTGATTCTCCTGAAAACCAATGTAAAATTACTCTAGCCCACAAGGGTATATTATATAATTGTGTGAATAGTTTGTGGTGATTTTCTTATTTTAAAAATAGTTCAAAGAGGTTACAAATTGGAATCTCAATGATTGTATTGATTTATTGATCTGCGTTCTACTGCAATGACATTGGTTACATTCATCATGTTTATTGATGGAACAGTTCACAATTATATATATATATATATTTAAACCTTTTATGAAATAAACAGACGAAAACATTGTCACTAATATAGAGAATAGTGTCAGAAAATGAGAACAACAATCTTATGACAATAATGTTATCAATAAATTATTGAAAATGTATTTGAAAAATTATACAAAACAATATAAATCACTCTTAAATGATACTCTTACCAAATCATCATGATAAATCAATATCCCTTCATCAATTAGTCCACAAATAGTCAATTTCATTTTTGTATTCATATCTGACTGTATAACATTTACATCGTGCATTTCATTTCCGTGAATAGCAGTTTGAATATTTCTAAATAAGTGAAATTATCATATTAAAGAGAGCAAGAACAAAGGTTGGTGCAGAATAATATGACAAAAACATATCATGCAGCTAAATTGATTGTCCTGTCCAAAATAACATGTTCTTTGATACAATCAAAGGTCGACAGGTCTCCCTTTCATGTTACCACCAACTGTGTATACAAATTTACATGTATCTGTCAAAGCAGTTACATTGGTAGAACAGAAAGGAGAGCCTATGTCCGATTCAAAGAACATAATCCGAAGTGTTTGAGATCAAACGGACTAAAAGCATTCAGCAGCGCTATCGCAAGACATCTCCTTGACACATGACACGAAGTCGATATACTGAAGTCCTTCAAGGTGATCAACAAACATTTAAATTCAAACCTTTTGAAATTTACCGAAGCAATAGCAATCAAACATTTAAAACCAGATCCTTGTATCCAAAAAGAGACAGTAATAAATCTTTCTTTTCCCTGGTAACATTACCTCCCCCATTTTATTTATTACGTCATTCCAACTCGTTCTGAATTTTATAATTACACTATTCATAACTGACCAAATTAAATTCATATCTTTCTTTATTACCATTAATCTATTTTCAATTATTTCATTGCTTAATAATCTAATGTGTTTTAATTCCATGATCTCTAACGAAATCTTTGCTATATCATGTTACAATATTCATCCTTCATCACCCTCTGATGTATAAGTATGTCAATATCTATAACAACGTTGAATTTCAAATATTTTAGGTTGTAAGCAGCTGATGAGAATCTGACGAAATAAAATGAATTTATATTATTCTGCACCAATCTTAGTTCTTGCTCTCTTTAAAATAATAAAGGGAACTATGTGTATGAAATTATTATAGTTAATGAATTGATCTGTAATTGTATGAACTCACATAACTTCTTCTTGTAAACCTAATACTTCAGAGAATTTTTCCAATGTTATACGACCAGTAGATTCAGGATCAAATAGAGTTTTCCAACGCTATGAACGAAAACAATTTCAAGGATTTAAATTATAATTAAGGATTATAATGATATTTGAAGAGAAGAATAAGCCAATATCAGACTACAAGATAGTAGTATTTCTTGTATCAAATATTTGTGTACAAATTGCTAAAATGTTCTTGGTTTTTAAAGGTTCTCTAACTGAGGTTATTCTGTAATATAAATTATTGAACCATAAGTTATTAAACCATTGTACACGCGTTTCAGAGAAAAATTTGGCTTACCTCAAACATCTTTTCATCCACATCATTCTCTTCCATATACTTTCGTAACTCTGGCATAGTAATCCAACCTAAAAGTAAAGTCCAAATACGTATCAAAGGTTTTTTTTCATTTCATACTTAAACAAATTGTTATAACTATGATAATTATGTTCAACAGGAAGTGGATGTGAGAAGGGATAACTAAAGCTTATAGGTCTTCTATCTTATGGCATTCATGTTACATCGATATATTACTGTTTACGAACTAATATCACCTTCGTCAAGCATTCATTGCTGTAGATCAAGTTAGGATATGGTCATTATCATGAAATATTTGTCCATGAAGTTTGCTAACTTGACTCCGACCATTAAACATTAAATAACAGTATAAACTATGCAGAATCATTTAGACTAGTGACCAAAGTACAACTATATCGATAGAATTTGATCTGGATCAAGAACTAGGCAAGTATGACACTGTTTACAATATTCAGTGATAAATCCAACAAGTGATCAACAGAAGCCCATGCCATTCTGTTTTAGCATTTTTAATTGCTACATTGAGTGATTTGTACTTGGTTTATTTGGCGAATACTAATTCCCAAATGATTACAACCAACTGTACTAATATTTCTAAATGTAACTAAATTGATATTTCGTTATTCAATTTATTTCGGGTCGAATAATTGAGAATATCTCATATATATAATACTCAAGTTGGTTAGGTTTAAGGATTCCGTCTGTTAGATTATTATACGTGTGTAAAAATAAAGAAGTTCCATATTTTATTGAAGAAACGTTGTGTAGTGTGTAAATCAATATATAATAGACTGAATGAACATTAAATTCAAATCACAAAACATATGTAGGACCATAGAAATGTTATTGAACCCTAGCTAAGTCATCCGGCAATTGGGTCACTGAATGTCAAACAATTCACTGATCTCTATCAAGGTCAAGGACAACCAACGCGTACAGTTAATCGTACGCCATGAACTGACCCATGCGGTGGTAATCATACTTTCACTTATACCTACTTTAATTAATATATTTCTGTGATAACGTCCTTTGTGTTGTACAGTCTTCAAAGTGTCCATTGCACCTTGATACGAGGAAGAGGTAATTCTTATTAGATGCTCGCGGTGAGGTGTGACTTCAATGTTAGCTTTTATTTACACCATTCCTGTCTAAATCACGTAGGCTCCAATCATTCGACAGAGATCATCAACGTTGATGATCTACACATTCAGACACAATGCTGAATCTTGTTGTGAGTCAAATTCAATACATTAGTAACTAACTGATAGAAATGTCAAAAATGATATTTAATTAAAGAAAAGTTTTCATGAAATCGAATATCAACATTATTCCTACATGTTTACGATAAATGATATTCTATTCTAAAGTGATTTTGAATTTTAGGCAATAATGAATAGAATGTGGAAATATTTCTTTTGTAATTAGTTTTTCATTATAGCTCTATATGAATATGTATATGTTCGATAATGGTAATAGTAATACCAATGACAAAATTAATACCAATCAAGTGATAAATGAAAGGAGTGTTACAAATTAATAATCAATAATTAACTAAATCATTATATCATGAAAATGATTGAGGTATATTGATAATATCAGAAGGAGTTTTGTAGAGAATGTAGAAATTTCACTGGTTGAAATCATGAGTCAATTAAGGCTAAATCACCATGGAAAACCTGGAAGCATTGGACGGCCGTTTCGTATATATATTCGTAATATTTGATAATGTTTTGCTCATGAAATGGAGTTGAATGTTAACAACAATTGAGTAATAACAATGAAAAGGAAAGTGTAATTTAGATAAATATAAAAACAAAAAAGGCCATAAAGGATTAAAAACATTGAATTTGTTGACATGGATGGTTATGACTTTCGATCAATGTAAAATAATTAAGTCACTCAATTGAAAAACAAACACAAAATAACTAAGAACGTCCACATAAACTACAACTCTTATCTATCATTCAAATAGGATTGATTAAATCCAAAATCTGAATTTAGGTCGATTACACGACTGAAGTTAGTCAGTATATAGCTCTTAATAGCCTTTTCTCCACATATTTGATGATAGATTTGTCTCTCGTAACTAACTACACAAGACCAACAGAAGTGGTTGTTAACATAAGATAAATGTTGAAATGAGTTTACAGATTGGATACAGCAAACCTGTTTTATGGAGCCTTTCTTCAATCGAATGAATTCCGAAACTGTGAATTATGGAAGTCTAAGTATTCAACTACCGACGTAACTATCATATACTGTAAAATGCAAACTACTTACAACACTTGCTTTTTTTAACCAAAGTGCTCACTATCTTGAATTTTGTATAGACACTTTTTTGCCTTTAGCTATACAACATTCTTTGTTAAGTTTTTGACCCTCTTCTTAACGGTTATTTGAAGCCTCGCTAACTGTAGCACTCATTTAATATCATTCAGTAAAGTGTATTATGAAAGTAGACAATTAAAATTAGGAAATCAATAAATAAAACCAGTTATTTTCTGATCTTTGTCATTCTAGAGAACTTCATAAAACTTTATGTTTATGTAATCAAATGTTACAGAAAGAGTAAAAAAATATTAAATCTGTTGTCAATAGATATATAAGTAGATAATCAGTCAGTCAGTCAGCTACAACGAGATAATCAGTCAAATATGATATAAGAATAACAATTCATACGTCAAACTTTCGATACCAGGCGACTATTTCGTTTTGAAGCTCTTGCATGAGTGTTGGCTAAAATATCAGTGTAGATTTCCTAATCAATTATGGGAATTATTGAAAGCAACCATTATTATGTGTGGAACGATACAGGCTACTGAATAAAATTAAGTAATATTGAGAACAAAACTAAAGAACGACAAGCCATCGGTATCGTAAAAGTATTCTAATCTTGTAATATGACCAAACAATCTTTTTGTGAATATATGTGTATCTCATATCACTAGAAAGGGAAATTTATTTTGTTGACTCAAGGGTATTCTGACATGGAAACAAATAGTTTATTTTTGAACACTTTTATACAATGTTTACATGAACTAATGTTTTACCTGGATGTTTAATATTAAGAAACTATATTTAAAGTGAATTTATTGAGTTATTTTAAGGCACTGTGCTTTGTGCTACATAAATAAGAACACAAGATTGATGCAGATTATGATTTTTATTGATCTCCCGTAAATTTATTGACAGCTGTTGTAATGGTAGAAAACTGGCAATTATTATTAGAAATAGTGAATGATACGAAGCAAGTGTAAACACAAAGACGATAGATGAGGATTTACTTAGCACTTAAAATAGATCATAACTATGCCGAAAATAATTTAAATTTTATTTCTTATCAACACTGATTTTGAAGCCATCTACGCACATGTCCAGCGACCCTTGATTGCATTATTCCATTACTCCTCCCTATATATGTGTGTTCACACAAACATGGAAATTGGTAAATACAATGGGATGTGGCATAATCATCAGTGCATTGTCTAGGTCTATTGAAATCATGAGCTTAGACTTTTCAATCACAACCGATTGACAAACATAATAGGTTTTCTCGATGGCTGCTTTCAATCTCTGTTGGATTAACCTCTATATGGTAGATGGATATAAACTTTTTTATTTTGAATTGAATAAACAGGAGGTCTTGGTATTAACTGAATTTTGCACTCATTAATAAACTTTAGTGGATAACCATTTACTATTAATGTGTCAGTCAGTAACTTTTCATCTTTTTCCACCGTGTCAAAATTACAAATTCTTTGAGTCCTCTTAAAGAGACACTTAACCAAGCCTCGCTTGTATTGCGAATTAACAAAAACTATGAAAATTTAAGTATTCTTCCGTCCAGGGTATTTTTTCCAGTTAAACTAAATAATACATGACACTAATTTATTAAAAACTTACTTTCTAAACGTAGATTAATAGTATCATGAAATTAATCATCTATAATCAACCAGTGTTAGTGACAAAATTATCCTCCCTTAGAATAAGGTTATATATCATGAACAATTAGAAAATGTCATCAGTTTTGTAAGTCATTGATTCAACTTTAACCTATTATGTTAGCTGAATAATAGGGCCTAGGATACACTCTTCACTTTATTTTGATGTTTTCAGAAGGGGTTTTGTGGAGATTTTAGAAATTTCACTGGTTGAAAGCATGAGTCAATTCGAGCTAAACCCTAACCTGCAAGCATTGAACGGCCGTTTCGTCCTAGCATGCGACTCCTCAGTAGTGAATATCCACGATCCCGCCCCCCACTCACAAGACTCGAACCTAACACTTATCAGTCTCGCGAGCAAGCGCTAAACCATTAGACCACTGAGCCAGCTGGAATTCAACGGTGTTAATGTATAACTTCAACCAATCCACGAAATCGCGCCACCGTACACCATTGTCTTCAGTGAGCTGATATCTCACAACAGACCTAGTTGAACTGCACTGGTAACGGCTTCTCACTAGAACTCCATGAAATGCCTCTTGAAATCAGTCACTAGTGAGCAGATGATTATTATCAGAAGGGGTTTTGTGGAGATTTTAGAATCGTGATCGTGGATGCGCACTGCTGAGGAGTCCCATACTAGGACTAAACGGCCGTTCAATGCTTCCAGGTTTTCCATGGTGATCTAGCTTCAATTGACTCATGATTTCAACTAGTGAAATTATTTAGATATATTTGTATTTTGGTTTTGATATTCATACTGTGACTAAAACATACTACTTTTCACTTTAAATATATCATTACTACTGATCCTTTTGCTTTAAAAAAAAACAAACAAACTAAGTATTATAAAGGATACACATTTGTACATAATTAGTCCAATGCACAATTATCCCTATATATATAAGAAAAATTAATTTGAAAAACTTATTCAATATAACTTGAACTTACCTTTTTTTCTTTTATCAACCATGAAATAGATTTCAGTAAATCCATCCACTTTATGAATTGTTTGCATTTTCTTGTTATTGTCTATTATTATAATCCCTTGTTTATTAAATGTTTAATTAAATTAAAATTTATTTGTATAAGAAATTAGTAACTAAGGGTTTGGTTAAATTATATTAAGTTATTTATTATAATGATGAGAAATAACCAATCAGATTCATTGTAACTAAGTAACTAACAAAGTGTGTGCATATAAATTAAGAAATTAAATCAATGGAAAAACTTTATTAGACATTTGTAATTGTGAGCACACGCACACACACACACAAAGTACATTTAGGTAAACGTTGATAATGTTTATTTGGGTTTTTTTCCAAAGAAAGGTCATATGACAGTAAATGAAAGTTAAAATGCTTGTGTTCTACATTAATTAATCATGGAATAACAACTATTGTCATGTTGTTTTTTCGAGTGCTGATTATTTGTTTAACTTAACTTCATATCTTTCTATGTACTAATTCTTTCTTTTTGTACTATATCCTTATATGCAGTCTTTCTTTTATATATTAGCACCATTGAATTAACTAGTTCTATGAATCCGGTGTTCATCTTGCTGTGTTAATGAGGTATGGAAACTTGGATTGACGCATATATGTGCCTGGTCCTACATTGTAGCTGACTGACTGACTGACTGACTTGATCAAGCTTTAATTTATTCACTTGTTTAAATGATGTAATGTCTCTTTCGATAATGTCTAATTGAAAAACTGAATAGTTTATAGTTAAGTCCTATAAGAAGTATCAGTCTCTTCATGAATATAGATATATCTTGTTAATAACTATCAATTATCTTGAAATGATTGCCACAAAATACCTACGGTGTTTAGAAAGCTCTATTAAACAACAAATGCAAGCTATTGTTTTTATTTTACTCTGCTTAACGAAAATGAACTTCTATGAATAGACTGAAAGTGTTACAGAGCAATAATTTATAAGACACAGCTTAAGTTTTCGCCTTGCAAACAATTCAATGACATTTACAATAATGATGATAATGGTAACTCTCATTCTGATTCGCATATGAATTAGGTTAAGAATTTTAATTTACGACACTATGCTAAAGTCATTGACAGATAGATATTTAATAGTTGAATTCATGAGTCAACTGAAGCTAGACCACCATGAAAAACGTGGAAGCACTGGATGGCCGTTTCGTCCTAGTATGAGACTCCTCAACAGTGTGCAACCATGATCTCGCACGCTGGACTTGAACCCAGGAAATGTCGGTGTCGCGCGCTCGTGAGGAGCCGTAACCAATGGAGTGCAACCAGATCTGTTCTGAGATAGTAACTCATTGAAGACAATCGTGGATGGCGGTGCACATTCGTCAACTGGTTGGAGTTAGACATTAACATCGTTGGATGCCGGTCCAGTGATCTAGAAGTTAAGCGTCTGCGCGCGAGACCGATAGGTCCTGGGTTCGAATCCCGTAGGACGGGATCGTGGGTGCGTGCTGTTGAGGAACCCACACTAGGACGAAACAGCTGTCCGGTGCTTCTAGATTTTCAATGGTGATCTAGCCTCAATTGACTCATAAATTCAACTATTAACTTACTAAAATCTCCACAAAACCCTCTTCAGATAGATAATTGTTTAGGAAGGGGATGAACAATAATTTACCATATGATTCTTGACATGTTATTCTGTTAGAATCAGTTGGTTAATCTACCATGTCCTGTATCATAATATATTTAATGCTACTGTTTTGAATATTGTTTATTTTAATGTAGAACTTCCCAAGCCTATTTAAAATTCATAATATTTTTTTAGTTGATCTCTTAATATTCTTACTTTTTGGAATTATTCCTTGTTAGTTAATTATGTCAAACATTTAATTTGATATGTCCATGCTATGGATAGATTATCAGAAATGAACTAACTGGTTAAATTGCAATAATGAGGTAGCGTTGAATAATACAGATCTCTACTGCTGAACAATTGTTTTCCTTAGTATTTTAGGTTTATTGGGGCAATAGGAATGCCGGAAGATAACACTTGGTATAACACTTTGAAGAATAGTCGATTAGCAAGGATTCAGACATTTGTACACATCTTTAAGCATCTGAAATTTAGAATAAGAAAAAGATTGATTTCTTGACACTGATTGATGCCATACCGGGACTTTTCATCATTATGATTCACTATTTGAAATAAAAGTTTTGATTCTTGGACCACCAGCATGAAACGTTTATATCTAAGTAAGTCATTTCCAATGAAGAATCTCTAAAACTCTAATAAATACCGAGTAAGCATTGAATTAGAGAGTAAAATGTATGCAAATCAGGATGTCTCCGTTGTTGGAAGGTATTATATTGAAACATGCTAACCTACATTTCAAATGTAATAGCGTTAAATAGTTATGAATATAAGCTAGCTAAAAGTTGTAAGGTATCTGAAGCCTAGCTTCGTCAAGAGTAATATTTCTCGAATGATTTTATTCAGAAGAAAAGAACCACCTCTAAGAACTTTATAACTTCCCGTCGATTATTTCAGATACATACATGAACTCCTAAAAAATCCTCTATTCTGTATGGGTAGTTTAAGCATACTCTTTAATGAACAATGTTATCGAACTGTCAACTTTATCACTTACCGAATTCTCAAATTCCAACCAAAGGATTTTCACAAGACAAAATCACTGATCCCTTAATTGAATGTATAAGTTATGGGACTAAATCTGTTATCTTTTAAGAGCATGCGAACTAGGATAGTTTAACTAGGAATTATTTATCTGATAACATTTGAGTACCCAAACATAAATGAAGGTCTAAAAAGAACCAGAATAAATTATTTCTTATTAACAGTTAAACTATTCTAGAAGTATACATGAAACTTTCGCTTGAACTATCTTGTTTCCAATAGTAATTTACCTAATTTAGTTGTGCATGCTACAAGGTTTGTACTGTCTGGTGGGATTGAAGTGAATTTTATCTCATTATTATTCAAATACAGTATGTCGAAATTTTGTAAACTAAGTTTAATCAAACCAAATTCGTCAAAACTAATAATTTAATGCAATGCTTCTCCAAAAAGAAATAGTTGAGAAATGATTCATTACATAAGAATTCGATCATAGGTGTCTTTGAAACATTGATCGTATATCCTGGGACCACCAAGTAAGTATGTATTAATATATATATATGAAAATAATTATCATTTTGCTAATCATAATCATGTAAATCTGAGAAAAACGTAATCATAATTCTTTGGTTGCGATCATAAACTGACTAATGTTACACCACCATTGAAAACCCGGAAGCACTGGACGGCCATTTCGTCCTATTGTGGGACTCCTCAGCAGTGCGCATCCACGATCTCGCTCGCGGGATTCGAACTCAGGGCCTTCAGTTGCGCACGCGAACGCTCAGCCTGCTGGACCACTGAGCCGGAATCCAATGGTGTTAATGTCTAACCTCAACCAATCCACGAAGTTGCGCTACCATCTTTCACTGTAATGAAGTAGATACCTGTTCCTATCCGACACCGATTAGCTCCACTGGTCACAGCTTCTCATTAGAATCTGAGAATTCCCTCACGAAGCTAGTCACTAGTGAGCACATAGTAATTATCAGCATAGGGGTTGTACAGATTATTAAGTCTTTAATTGAGATCATAAATCGACTGATGTTAAACCATCATTGAAAACCTGGAAGCACTGGATCGTGTATGCGCACTGCTGAGGAGTCCCACAACAGGACGAAGTGGCCGTCCAGTGGTTCCACGTTTTCCATGGTGATCTAACATCAGTCGATTCATGATCTCAATCAAAAACTTAATAATCTCCATCACCCCTATGCTGATATTCATAATTTTCACAATTGAATAACATACTACTCATACTACTCCAATGAAATGAATTGTATGATTAGTAATTTTTTGATTAATAAATATTGACGTATTTATTATTGTTTTTCTGTGTTGTTGTCGTTAGATTCAGATATAAATGATTGACAAATATTAGTTGTTATAAACAGAACAAACTACGTAAATAGTTTTTAGTCTAAAGAAATGAATTCATTAAATGATAGATTATTCCTAGGGTTATATATTCATTCCTTAGCCCACGTGAATTGCGCACTTATGAATAAACTTAGTACACATAAGATTGTTTAAATAATAAACAAAATAATTTAACAATTACTTTGAAGATGATAATTGAATTTTCAACCTGTGATCAATGTTTTAAGCAATTTGTCTTACGATATTGTAAAAGAATCAGTTAAATGAATATGTCAAATATGAAATTGATCACTGTTCTTTTTTTATGTATCCGTGGTGACAGTTTAAGACAACTATTAGTAAGCTTTATGCTCAAATTAACTTATTCTTTTGGTTGTATTTAGTATTCACTAAAATTAGGGTTAAAATGAATGTTTTATTTTACTCAATATCTTCTTGTTAGATATATTTACAACTTAGTCAAAATAGGTTACTTCTCAAAAGCCTGAATTCTATCTGGTTTATTTGAAATTCCAGAATAATTATCACTGAACTCCATGGTTACAACAGTTTTCAATCGTTCATTGAATCAAGGCTGTTACTATTTTGACATATGGTTTTAAGTTGTTTATGCGTTTTCAAAACCCACTACTATTATTTTCAGTACTTCTAGCTAACGAATATTAAAGACAACAAAAATCGTATCTTGTATATCGCTGCTAAACTATTAGGTATCCCAAATCTATAATAATTGGCGTTCTTACCATTCACCAAAAATATATACTGGTAATCATATATAAAGCAGTTAAATACTATGGAGTGCAAATTATATTGGATAATATTCAGTTTTATGGTAATGAGGCAATTACTTTATCACACTCTAACTAGTTTATACCGTATGCTCATTTGTATACATCCAGGAGTCTTCGATAGGTTATTTGAAAATTGAATTATTAGCAAAAAAATATTGTTTTTGACAAACAAAAATAGTCAATTAGTAATATATATATATATATATATATATATATATATATATATATATATATATATATATATATATATATATGACTATTTTTGTTTGTCAAAAACAATATTTTTTTGCTAATAATTCAATTTTCAAATAACCTATCGAAGACTCCTGGATGTATACAAATGAGCATACGGTATAAACTAGTTAGAGTGTGATAAAGTAATTGCCTCATTACCATAAAACTGAATATTATCCAATATAATTTGCACTCCATAGTATTTAACTGCTTTATATATGATTACCAGTATATATTTTTGGTGAATGGTAAGAACGCCAATTATTATAGATTTGGGATACCTAATAGTTTAGCAGCGATATACAAGATACGATTTTTGTTGTCTTTAATATTCGTTAGCTAGAAGTACTGAAAATAATAGTAGTGGGTTTTGAAAACGCATAAACAACTTAAAACCATATGTCAAAATAGTAACAGCCTTGATTCAATGAACGATTGAAAACTGTTGTAACCATGGAGTTCAGTGATAATTATTCTGGAATTTCAAATAAACCAGATAGAATTCAGGCTTTTGAGAAGTAACCTATTTTGACTAAGTTGTAAATATATCTAACAAGAAGATATTGAGTAAAATAAAACATTCATTTTAACCCTAATTTTAGTGAATACTAAATACAACCAAAAGAATAAGTTAATTTGAGCATAAAGCTTACTAATAGTTGTCTTAAACTGTCACCACGGATACATAAAAAAAGAACAGTGATCAATTTCATATTTGACATATTCATTTAACTGATTCTTTTACAATATCGTAAGACAAATTGCTTAAAACATTGATCACAGGTTGAAAATTCAATTATCATCTTCAAAGTAATTGTTAAATTATTTTGTTTATTATTTAAACAATCTTATGTGTACTAAGTTTATTCATAAGTGCGCAATTCACGTGGGCTAAGGAATGAATATATAACCCTAGGAATAATCTATCATTTAATGAATTCATTTCTTTAGACTAAAAACTATTTACGTAGTTTGTTCTGTTTATAACAACTAATATTTGTCAATCATTTATATCTGAATCTAACGACAACAACACAGAAAAACAATAATAAATACGTCAATATTTATTAATCAAAAAATTACTAATCATACAATTCATTTCATTGGAGTAGTATGAGTAGTATGTTATTCAATTGTGAAAATTATGAATATCAGCATAGGGGTGATGGAGATTATTAAGTTTTTGATTGAGATCATGAATCGACTGATGTTAGATCACCATGGAAAACGTGGAACCACTGGACGGCCACTTCGTCCTGTTGTGGGACTCCTCAGCAGTGCGCATACACGATCCAGTGCTTCCAGGTTTTCAATGATGGTTTAACATCAGTCGATTTATGATCTCAATTAAAGACTTAATAATCTGTACAACCCCTATGCTGATAATTACTATGTGCTCACTAGTGACTAGCTTCGTGAGGGAATTCTCAGATTCTAATGAGAAGCTGTGACCAGTGGAGCTAATCGGTGTCGGATAGGAACAGGTATCTACTTCATTACAGTGAAAGATGGTAGCGCAACTTCGTGGATTGGTTGAGGTTAGACATTAACACCATTGGATTCCGGCTCAGTGGTCCAGCAGGCTGAGCGTTCGCGTGCGCAACTGAAGGCCCTGAGTTCGAATCCCGCGAGCGAGATCGTGGATGCGCACTGCTGAGGAGTCCCACAATAGGACGAAATGGCCGTCCAGTGCTTCCGGGTTTTCAATGGTGGTGTAACATTAGTCAGTTTATGATCGCAACCAAAGAATTATGATTACGTTTTTCTCAGATTTACATGATTATGATTAGCAAAATGATAATTATTTTCATATATATATATTAATACATACTTACTTGGTGGTCCCAGGATATACGATCAATGTTTCAAAGACACCTATGATCGAATTCTTATGTAATGAATCATTTCTCAACTATTTCTTTTTGGAGAAGCATTGCATTAAATTATTAGTTTTGACGAATTTGGTTTGATTAAACTTAGTTTACAAAATTTCGACATACTGTATTTGAATAATAATGAGATAAAATTCACTTCAATCCCACCAGACAGTACAAACCTTGTAGCATGCACAACTAAATTAGGTAAATTACTATTGGAAACAAGATAGTTCAAGCGAAAGTTTCATGTATACTTCTAGAATAGTTTAACTGTTAATAAGAAATAATTTATTCTGGTTCTTTTTAGACCTTCATTTATGTTTGGGTACTCAAATGTTATCAGATAAATAATTCCTAGTTAAACTATCCTAGTTCGCATGCTCTTAAAAGATAACAGATTTAGTCCCATAACTTATACATTCAATTAAGGGATCAGTGATTTTGTCTTGTGAAAATCCTTTGGTTGGAATTTGAGAATTCGGTAAGTGATAAAGTTGACAGTTCGATAACATTGTTCATTAAAGAGTATGCTTAAACTACCCATACAGAATAGAGGATTTTTTAGGAGTTCATGTATGTATCTGAAATAATCGACGGGAAGTTATAAAGTTCTTAGAGGTGGTTCTTTTCTTCTGAATAAAATCATTCGAGAAATATTACTCTTGACGAAGCTAGGCTTCAGATACCTTACAACTTTTAGCTAGCTTATATTCATAACTATTTAACGCTATTACATTTGAAATGTAGGTTAGCATGTTTCAATATAATACCTTCCAACAACGGAGACATCCTGATTTGCATACATTTTACTCTCTAATTCAATGCTTACTCGGTATTTATTAGAGTTTTAGAGATTCTTCATTGGAAATGACTTACTTAGATATAAACGTTTCATGCTGGTGGTCCAAGAATCAAAACTTTTATTTCAAATAGTGAATCATAATGATGAAAAGTCCCGGTATGGCATCAATCAGTGTCAAGAAATCAATCTTTTTCTTATTCTAAATTTCAGATGCTTAAAGATGTGTACAAATGTCTGAATCCTTGCTAATCGACTATTCTTCAAAGTGTTATACCAAGTGTTATCTTCCGGCATTCCTATTGCCCCAATAAACCTAAAATACTAAGGAAAACAATTGTTCAGCAGTAGAGATCTGTATTATTCAACGCTACCTCATTATTGCAATTTAACCAGTTAGTTCATTTCTGATAATCTATCCATAGCATGGACATATCAAATTAAATGTTTGACATAATTAACTAACAAGGAATAATTCCAAAAAGTAAGAATATTAAGAGATCAACTAAAAAAATATTATGAATTTTAAATAGGCTTGGGAAGTTCTACATTAAAATAAACAATATTCAAAACAGTAGCATTAAATATATTATGATACAGGACATGGTAGATTAACCAACTGATTCTAACAGAATAACATGTCAAGAATCATATGGTAAATTATTGTTCATCCCCTTCCTAAACAATTATCTATCTGAAGAGGGTTTTGTGGAGATTTTAGTAAGTTAATAGTTGAATTTATGAGTCAATTGAGGCTAGATCACCATTGAAAATCTAGAAGCACCGGACAGCTGTTTCGTCCTAGTGTGGGTTCCTCAACAGCACGCACCCACGATCCCGTCCTACGGGATTCGAACCCAGGACCTATCGGTCTCGCGCGCAGACGCTTAACTTCTAGATCACTGGACCGGCATCCAACGATGTTAATGTCTAACTCCAACCAGTTGACGAATGTGCACCGCCATCCACGATTGTCTTCAATGAGTTACTATCTCAGAACAGATCTGGTTGCACTCCATTGGTTACGGCTCCTCACGAGCGCGCGACACCGACATTTCCTGGGTTCAAGTCCAGCGTGCGAGATCATGGTTGCACACTGTTGAGGAGTCTCATACTAGGACGAAACGGCCATCCAGTGCTTCCACGTTTTTCATGGTGGTCTAGCTTCAGTTGACTCATGAATTCAACTATTAAATATCTATCTGTCAATGACTTTAGCATAGTGTCGTAAATTAAAATTCTTAACCTAATTCATATGCGAATCAGAATGAGAGTTACCATTATCATCATTATTGTAAATGTCATTGAATTGTTTGCAAGGCGAAAACTTAAGCTGTGTCTTATAAATTATTGCTCTGTAACACTTTCAGTCTATTCATAGAAGTTCATTTTCGTTAAGCAGAGTAAAATAAAAACAATAGCTTGCATTTGTTGTTTAATAGAGCTTTCTAAACACCGTAGGTATTTTGTGGCAATCATTTCAAGATAATTGATAGTTATTAACAAGATATATCTATATTCATGAAGAGACTGATACTTCTTATAGGACTTAACTATAAACTATTCAGTTTTTCAATTAGACATTATCGAAAGAGACATTACATCATTTAAACAAGTGAATAAATTAAAGCTTGATCAAGTCAGTCAGTCAGTCAGTCAGCTACAATGTAGGACCAGGCACATATATGCGTCAATCCAAGTTTCCATACCTCATTAACACAGCAAGATGAACACCGGATTCATAGAACTAGTTAATTCAATGGTGCTAATATATAAAAGAAAGACTGCATATAAGGATATAGTACAAAAAGAAAGAATTAGTACATAGAAAGATATGAAGTTAAGTTAAACAAATAATCAGCACTCGAAAAAACAACATGACAATAGTTGTTATTCCATGATTAATTAATGTAGAACACAAGCATTTTAACTTTCATTTACTGTCATATGACCTTTCTTTGGAAAAAAACCCAAATAAACATTATCAACGTTTACCTAAATGTACTTTGTGTGTGTGTGTGCGTGTGCTCACAATTACAAATGTCTAATAAAGTTTTTCCATTGATTTAATTTCTTAATTTATATGCACACACTTTGTTAGTTACTTAGTTACAATGAATCTGATTGGTTATTTCTCATCATTATAATAAATAACTTAATATAATTTAACCAAACCCTTAGTTACTAATTTCTTATACAAATAAATTTTAATTTAATTAAACATTTAATAAACAAGGGATTATAATAATAGACAATAACAAGAAAATGCAAACAATTCATAAAGTGGATGGATTTACTGAAATCTATTTCATGGTTGATAAAAGAAAAAAAGGTAAGTTCAAGTTATATTGAATAAGTTTTTCAAATTAATTTTTCTTATATATATAGGGATAATTGTGCATTGGACTAATTATGTACAAATGTGTATCCTTTATAATACTTAGTTTGTTTGTTTTTTTTTAAAGCAAAAGGATCAGTAGTAATGATATATTTAAAGTGAAAAGTAGTATGTTTTAGTCACAGTATGAATATCAAAACCAAAATACAAATATATCTAAATAATTTCACTAGTTGAAATCATGAGTCAATTGAAGCTAGATCACCATGGAAAACCTGGAAGCATTGAACGGCCGTTTAGTCCTAGTATGGGACTCCTCAGCAGTGCGCATCCACGATCACGATTCTAAAATCTCCACAAAACCCCTTCTGATAATAATCATCTGCTCACTAGTGACTGATTTCAAGAGGCATTTCATGGAGTTCTAGTGAGAAGCCGTTACCAGTGCAGTTCAACTAGGTCTGTTGTGAGATATCAGCTCACTGAAGACAATGGTGTACGGTGGCGCGATTTCGTGGATTGGTTGAAGTTATACATTAACACCGTTGAATTCCAGCTGGCTCAGTGGTCTAATGGTTTAGCGCTTGCTCGCGAGACTGATAAGTGTTAGGTTCGAGTCTTGTGAGTGGGGGGCGGGATCGTGGATATTCACTACTGAGGAGTCGCATGCTAGGACGAAACGGCCGTTCAATGCTTGCAGGTTAGGGTTTAGCTCGAATTGACTCATGCTTTCAACCAGTGAAATTTCTAAAATCTCCACAAAACCCCTTCTGAAAACATCAAAATAAAGTGAAGAGTGTATCCTAGGCCCTATTATTCAGCTAACATAATAGGTTAAAGTTGAATCAATGACTTACAAAACTGATGACATTTTCTAATTGTTCATGATATATAACCTTATTCTAAGGGAGGATAATTTTGTCACTAACACTGGTTGATTATAGATGATTAATTTCATGATACTATTAATCTACGTTTAGAAAGTAAGTTTTTAATAAATTAGTGTCATGTATTATTTAGTTTAACTGGAAAAAATACCCTGGACGGAAGAATACTTAAATTTTCATAGTTTTTGTTAATTCGCAATACAAGCGAGGCTTGGTTAAGTGTCTCTTTAAGAGGACTCAAAGAATTTGTAATTTTGACACGGTGGAAAAAGATGAAAAGTTACTGACTGACACATTAATAGTAAATGGTTATCCACTAAAGTTTATTAATGAGTGCAAAATTCAGTTAATACCAAGACCTCCTGTTTATTCAATTCAAAATAAAAAAGTTTATATCCATCTACCATATAGAGGTTAATCCAACAGAGATTGAAAGCAGCCATCGAGAAAACCTATTATGTTTGTCAATCGGTTGTGATTGAAAAGTCTAAGCTCATGATTTCAATAGACCTAGACAATGCACTGATGATTATGCCACATCCCATTGTATTTACCAATTTCCATGTTTGTGTGAACACACATATATAGGGAGGAGTAATGGAATAATGCAATCAAGGGTCGCTGGACATGTGCGTAGATGGCTTCAAAATCAGTGTTGATAAGAAATAAAATTTAAATTATTTTCGGCATAGTTATGATCTATTTTAAGTGCTAAGTAAATCCTCATCTATCGTCTTTGTGTTTACACTTGCTTCGTATCATTCACTATTTCTAATAATAATTGCCAGTTTTCTACCATTACAACAGCTGTCAATAAATTTACGGGAGATCAATAAAAATCATAATCTGCATCAATCTTGTGTTCTTATTTATGTAGCACAAAGCACAGTGCCTTAAAATAACTCAATAAATTCACTTTAAATATAGTTTCTTAATATTAAACATCCAGGTAAAACATTAGTTCATGTAAACATTGTATAAAAGTGTTCAAAAATAAACTATTTGTTTCCATGTCAGAATACCCTTGAGTCAACAAAATAAATTTCCCTTTCTAGTGATATGAGATACACATATATTCACAAAAAGATTGTTTGGTCATATTACAAGATTAGAATACTTTTACGATACCGATGGCTTGTCGTTCTTTAGTTTTGTTCTCAATATTACTTAATTTTATTCAGTAGCCTGTATCGTTCCACACATAATAATGGTTGCTTTCAATAATTCCCATAATTGATTAGGAAATCTACACTGATATTTTAGCCAACACTCATGCAAGAGCTTCAAAACGAAATAGTCGCCTGGTATCGAAAGTTTGACGTATGAATTGTTATTCTTATATCATATTTGACTGATTATCTCGTTGTAGCTGACTGACTGACTGATTATCTACTTATATATCTATTGACAACAGATTTAATATTTTTTTACTCTTTCTGTAACATTTGATTACATAAACATAAAGTTTTATGAAGTTCTCTAGAATGACAAAGATCAGAAAATAACTGGTTTTATTTATTGATTTCCTAATTTTAATTGTCTACTTTCATAATACACTTTACTGAATGATATTAAATGAGTGCTACAGTTAGCGAGGCTTCAAATAACCGTTAAGAAGAGGGTCAAAAACTTAACAAAGAATGTTGTATAGCTAAAGGCAAAAAAGTGTCTATACAAAATTCAAGATAGTGAGCACTTTGGTTAAAAAAAGCAAGTGTTGTAAGTAGTTTGCATTTTACAGTATATGATAGTTACGTCGGTAGTTGAATACTTAGACTTCCATAATTCACAGTTTCGGAATTCATTCGATTGAAGAAAGGCTCCATAAAACAGGTTTGCTGTATCCAATCTGTAAACTCATTTCAACATTTATCTTATGTTAACAACCACTTCTGTTGGTCTTGTGTAGTTAGTTACGAGAGACAAATCTATCATCAAATATGTGGAGAAAAGGCTATTAAGAGCTATATACTGACTAACTTCAGTCGTGTAATCGACCTAAATTCAGATTTTGGATTTAATCAATCCTATTTGAATGATAGATAAGAGTTGTAGTTTATGTGGACGTTCTTAGTTATTTTGTGTTTGTTTTTCAATTGAGTGACTTAATTATTTTACATTGATCGAAAGTCATAACCATCCATGTCAACAAATTCAATGTTTTTAATCCTTTATGGCCTTTTTTGTTTTTATATTTATCTAAATTACACTTTCCTTTTCATTGTTATTACTCAATTGTTGTTAACATTCAACTCCATTTCATGAGCAAAACATTATCAAATATTACGAATATATATACGAAACGGCCGTCCAATGCTTCCAGGTTTTCCATGGTGATTTAGCCTTAATTGACTCATGATTTCAACCAGTGAAATTTCTACATTCTCTACAAAACTCCTTCTGATATTATCAATATACCTCAATCATTTTCATGATATAATGATTTAGTTAATTATTGATTATTAATTTGTAACACTCCTTTCATTTATCACTTGATTGGTATTAATTTTGTCATTGGTATTACTATTACCATTATCGAACATATACATATTCATATAGAGCTATAATGAAAAACTAATTACAAAAGAAATATTTCCACATTCTATTCATTATTGCCTAAAATTCAAAATCACTTTAGAATAGAATATCATTTATCGTAAACATGTAGGAATAATGTTGATATTCGATTTCATGAAAACTTTTCTTTAATTAAATATCATTTTTGACATTTCTATCAGTTAGTTACTAATGTATTGAATTTGACTCACAACAAGATTCAGCATTGTGTCTGAATGTGTAGATCATCAACGTTGATGATCTCTGTCGAATGATTGGAGCCTACGTGATTTAGACAGGAATGGTGTAAATAAAAGCTAACATTGAAGTCACACCTCACCGCGAGCATCTAATAAGAATTACCTCTTCCTCGTATCAAGGTGCAATGGACACTTTGAAGACTGTACAACACAAAGGACGTTATCACAGAAATATATTAATTAAAGTAGGTATAAGTGAAAGTATGATTACCACCGCATGGGTCAGTTCATGGCGTACGATTAACTGTACGCGTTGGTTGTCCTTGACCTTGATAGAGATCAGTGAATTGTTTGACATTCAGTGACCCAATTGCCGGATGACTTAGCTAGGGTTCAATAACATTTCTATGGTCCTACATATGTTTTGTGATTTGAATTTAATGTTCATTCAGTCTATTATATATTGATTTACACACTACACAACGTTTCTTCAATAAAATATGGAACTTCTTTATTTTTACACACGTATAATAATCTAACAGACGGAATCCTTAAACCTAACCAACTTGAGTATTATATATATGAGATATTCTCAATTATTCGACCCGAAATAAATTGAATAACGAAATATCAATTTAGTTACATTTAGAAATATTAGTACAGTTGGTTGTAATCATTTGGGAATTAGTATTCGCCAAATAAACCAAGTACAAATCACTCAATGTAGCAATTAAAAATGCTAAAACAGAATGGCATGGGCTTCTGTTGATCACTTGTTGGATTTATCACTGAATATTGTAAACAGTGTCATACTTGCCTAGTTCTTGATCCAGATCAAATTCTATCGATATAGTTGTACTTTGGTCACTAGTCTAAATGATTCTGCATAGTTTATACTGTTATTTAATGTTTAATGGTCGGAGTCAAGTTAGCAAACTTCATGGACAAATATTTCATGATAATGACCATATCCTAACTTGATCTACAGCAATGAATGCTTGACGAAGGTGATATTAGTTCGTAAACAGTAATATATCGATGTAACATGAATGCCATAAGATAGAAGACCTATAAGCTTTAGTTATCCCTTCTCACATCCACTTCCTGTTGAACATAATTATCATAGTTATAACAATTTGTTTAAGTATGAAATGAAAAAAAACCTTTGATACGTATTTGGACTTTACTTTTAGGTTGGATTACTATGCCAGAGTTACGAAAGTATATGGAAGAGAATGATGTGGATGAAAAGATGTTTGAGGTAAGCCAAATTTTTCTCTGAAACGCGTGTACAATGGTTTAATAACTTATGGTTCAATAATTTATATTACAGAATAACCTCAGTTAGAGAACCTTTAAAAACCAAGAACATTTTAGCAATTTGTACACAAATATTTGATACAAGAAATACTACTATCTTGTAGTCTGATATTGGCTTATTCTTCTCTTCAAATATCATTATAATCCTTAATTATAATTTAAATCCTTGAAATTGTTTTCGTTCATAGCGTTGGAAAACTCTATTTGATCCTGAATCTACTGGTCGTATAACATTGGAAAAATTCTCTGAAGTATTAGGTTTACAAGAAGAAGTTATGTGAGTTCATACAATTACAGATCAATTCATTAACTATAATAATTTCATACACATAGTTCCCTTTATTATTTTAAAGAGAGCAAGAACTAAGATTGGTGCAGAATAATATAAATTCATTTTATTTCGTCAGATTCTCATCAGCTGCTTACAACCTAAAATATTTGAAATTCAACGTTGTTATAGATATTGACATACTTATACATCAGAGGGTGATGAAGGATGAATATTGTAACATGATATAGCAAAGATTTCGTTAGAGATCATGGAATTAAAACACATTAGATTATTAAGCAATGAAATAATTGAAAATAGATTAATGGTAATAAAGAAAGATATGAATTTAATTTGGTCAGTTATGAATAGTGTAATTATAAAATTCAGAACGAGTTGGAATGACGTAATAAATAAAATGGGGGAGGTAATGTTACCAGGGAAAAGAAAGATTTATTACTGTCTCTTTTTGGATACAAGGATCTGGTTTTAAATGTTTGATTGCTATTGCTTCGGTAAATTTCAAAAGGTTTGAATTTAAATGTTTGTTGATCACCTTGAAGGACTTCAGTATATCGACTTCGTGTCATGTGTCAAGGAGATGTCTTGCGATAGCGCTGCTGAATGCTTTTAGTCCGTTTGATCTCAAACACTTCGGATTATGTTCTTTGAATCGGACATAGGCTCTCCTTTCTGTTCTACCAATGTAACTGCTTTGACAGATACATGTAAATTTGTATACACAGTTGGTGGTAACATGAAAGGGAGACCTGTCGACCTTTGATTGTATCAAAGAACATGTTATTTTGGACAGGACAATCAATTTAGCTGCATGATATGTTTTTGTCATATTATTCTGCACCAACCTTTGTTCTTGCTCTCTTTAATATGATAATTTCACTTATTTAGAAATATTCAAACTGCTATTCACGGAAATGAAATGCACGATGTAAATGTTATACAGTCAGATATGAATACAAAAATGAAATTGACTATTTGTGGACTAATTGATGAAGGGATATTGATTTATCATGATGATTTGGTAAGAGTATCATTTAAGAGTGATTTATATTGTTTTGTATAATTTTTCAAATACATTTTCAATAATTTATTGATAACATTATTGTCATAAGATTGTTGTTCTCATTTTCTGACACTATTCTCTATATTAGTGACAATGTTTTCGTCTGTTTATTTCATAAAAGGTTTAAATATATATATATATATATAATTGTGAACTGTTCCATCAATAAACATGATGAATGTAACCAATGTCATTGCAGTAGAACGCAGATCAATAAATCAATACAATCATTGAGATTCCAATTTGTAACCTCTTTGAACTATTTTTAAAATAAGAAAATCACCACAAACTATTCACACAATTATATAATATACCCTTGTGGGCTAGAGTAATTTTACATTGGTTTTCAGGAGAATCAGACACCATACAGACTTTCATGTGATAACTCAAACAGTACAGCTCAATCCTGTGGCGCAACCACACAAGTACCCAGCACCCTGGTGGGTCAATCACACCACCACAAACTATCTGCCTAAGTAGCAATCGATCACTTAATAATGAGGGAATTCGAGATGGTTTACGCACGTTTTATTTACATGGTATAATTTGTGAAATTTAATCTATATTAAAATAGATATTCCTTATTTCATAACATACTGCTCACGCTACTTCGAGAAGAGAATGAATTTAAAAGCATGAACCACTTAATTCCAATTAAGTGGTACAATGTCGTCATGCCTACTTCAATAATTCGATGTACGGGATTCAATCCTGAGTGAGGTTTTGGGTACACACCATTGTATAATTAACAAACAGGACGAAACCGACTTTTTTTAATAGATCTACAACTGATGTAACCTGAGGATGAAAACTAACTTCGAAGAAATATATATATATATATATATATATATATATATATATATATATATATATATATATATATATATTCATTTAGCGTTAACGATACGAATTTGTTTAGTATATAAACTGTGATGTGTCTGCAGTAACTTTCCGTGGATTAGTTGAAATTAGACACTAACACCGTTGGATGCCGTCTCAGTGGTCTAGTGGTTAGGCACTTGCGCGCGAGACTGGTAGGCCCTGTGTTCGAATCTCGCGGGGTAGGGGCGTGAATGCGCAATGCTGAGGAATCTCACAATAGAACGAAACGGCCGTCTAGTGGTTCCAGGTTTTCCATGGTGGTCTAGCTTCAATTGACTCATGATCTCAACTATTGAAATTACTACAATCTCCACAAAACCCCTTCTGATACTTAATTATGTGATTAGTCGGTTTATCTGTTAACCGATGAATTTAATAACATTAAAGTTTGACTATATTATGTATTACATCCATTGTAAGCAATGGAAGAAATTTTAAATTTTCAACACATCAACTTGAAAAACGCGAAAAACCATAGAAACTCATTATCTTTTAATCTTGAATTATATAGTATTAATCTGTCTAGTTTACACAAATCCACTATATTTTTAGTGACTTGCCCAAGTATTCCGGCTGCTTCGTTTCAATTCATTCAAATGTCACAATTTTTTTCTTGTTTTGCAGTTTCTTAAAATTAGTAAACTGAATCTGTTGATTACATGAATTAATGATAAGCTTCAACGAAAATCTTACAAACTATCGTCATACTAAATAATGCAAACTAAAACGGTAACGCTTTTGTTGTTGGAATAGTTTCTTACTTCTTTAGTTCGTAGCGGAACAAGAAAAAATCACATTTATATTGACGTACATATATCAAACTAGTGATATGCTCTAATATCTCATTTATTGTGTACATACATTGCAATAATTAAAAAAACATTGAATACTCAGAATTTGCCGAAACAAATTTGCGGTTGAATATGAATGGCAGATATAGGGTTTTTTAATATACGTTTCTGAGGACTGCTACTATTAAGATAATTAATTTAGAGAAGAATTTGTAACAATACTTCACACTTTGAGCTGATAATTCCCTACCGTATTCAAACATATGTTATTACGGTATTTCAAACAAATACAGTAAAACAGTCTTAATCGAATGTTAAATCTTCATTTTCATTAATTGAAACATCTTTGAAAATCTTCAAATATCAGTCTTCTTAGGTACATGATTGTTTTTTTAACGGTGATTGAGGATTTCAAAAATTAAAATGAAGTAAGTCTGGTTAGCACAGAAGATGAACATACATAGCGATGGAATTACAAGTCAGAAATTTTCGGACACATTGCTTAATGTACCAACATCATAATGATACATAAACAATCCATCTGTATAGCACACATTTCATAGGATTCTTAAAGTGTCTGAGAATTTCTAAGTATAAGACAGCATCTACTGTTTGCCCTTCAGATGGAAGCATATGATGTGCGACACACAGATTACCAGCAATAGGTACATCGAATATCGTACTTGTTGAATAGACTGTATATAAGCTTCAAAAGATTCCAAATCAAATGTATTGAGGTTAGGAAATATGTTTGAGGTAATAAAATGCAATACCTGACCAAATAATAATCCTGTAATTATAAAATGCATACTGAAAGAAAACGCATTATATTTGTTCATCTATTCCTTGATAAATCAGCTGTTTGAAATCATTTCATTCGTCCACATTATCATGACAAATTAGTGAGTTTCTGCCATAACTAGACTTGAGTGATCATGTTAAATAATTAGAGGACTGAACTGAAACCTTAAGTTTATCAGCAATACGTCGTAAAACGCCAGAGAATTTCCTCGACTCTTGTGCTGGATGACTTAATCTTTTACCGTTCATTTCGCTTGTATTGAGTGGTATTATTTATATTTAGAATAATGACTAAAGCTACTCAGTTAAATTACATAACACAGAATGTAGCACTTCAAACATAAAACAATCACTTGATCTGTTTCACTTATTTTTTTTATTTTGATTTAGAAATTAGTTGAGTTCTTGAAAGATGAATTGGATAAGTATTTTGGAAAGTTATGGAATGTAATCATCATCTATGGTCGATATTGGTCACGTTATTGTCATGAAACAGGTTATAATTTTTGTTTTATCAAAGACGACCGTATATTCCTAGTATACAAGATTCCGGATATATAATAGAAAAATAAGATATTTCAATCACATTCCATTCTTGAAGATATTTTTGTGATAACTCTGAAGCAAAAATGATGAACACAAAGACTTCTCTTGTTTTGATATTTTACGTGTAAATTTTGATTCCGGTTTATTCATAAGTTTGTCGAATTCTTTGACTATATAACAACCAATCAATGATTATATAAAAGTTGGACTTGTATTTTAGCTAACAAAAAACATGTGGTGAAATGTATAAGTAGTATATTTCATGTTTATACTCACTGTATGTGGTTAAAATGTTCGGTGAAAGATAACGGTTTTGACGGGACCTGCAATGTTAAATAATTACTGTCAGGTGTATGGCTTGTACTTACTAAGCAAAATAAAGATGTAGTTAAATGCAATAAAATGTTATTACAGTCTGTCCGTGTACTTAATACTTAGCATCATTTGGACATGATTTTCGGTACATATACATCATAACCCTTTCATCTAAAGTACTATAATAACCATAGAGTTATCCTGTAGTATGCATTTTTTTAAGGCTTTATACTTGAACATGTGAAACTTTAACAAAACGGTGTAATATTTATGCATGAAAACATAAAAATACGTCCAGCTTATTATTGACAACCATCGATTATATGCGCACAAAATAAGTTATTCTTGCATTCATCGATAAACATTTGTTCTCTTAGTATATGTGATCATGTTAATTTTGAGGAGTCTCATACTAGAACGAAACGGCCATCCAGTGCCTCCAGGTTTTCAATGGTGATCTACTTTAGACCAACTCATGAATTCAACTATTAAAGTTTTGATTTACACATAATAATGATTATACTCTTTATCAGTGTTTGTGGATTCTGATCATACTTATTACAATATAGTCAATACTAATTAAAATATTCCTTGACCTTAAAGATTAAGTTTCAGTTATTATTTATGTTGCATTATTTTACCATAATTTGAAAATTATGTAATAAGATAAGCTCATTATGACAAAATGTATTTCTTTGATTAAGGTCAACTAAACTAACACTCAAATTAATTCTTGTCAAGCCCTAGTAAATATGGTTCATATTCACTTGAAAATAATTAGAATAATATGAGTATAGTTCACATCATAGTGATACATTTTTATAGTTTATATCATCGAATGAACACTTAACTGTATAATAAGAGTAAATGTTAACTTGAATAATGAATAAGTATTCATACAGTTGACCTTATTCACATTTAGTTGTCTTATCAACAAAACAAAACAAAAAATGAACATTTCATGTCAGAACTAAATGTTGAGTTTTTACAGGTTAAAAGCATTCATATATTAGTCGAAATTCTAGGAATTTACATTTCCGTGCTAGCGAACACCTCTCAGCGTGGCTGAGCAAATGTTTGGTGAAGAAAGTGAACAGCTCGGCCCATTTAGTTCAGACTGCTCATAGTGTCAGTATAAACCGATCCTTTTCAATTATTTATCGGGCCAGTAATTTCTCGCCAAATTTTGCCACACTTAAAGTCCTTCAAACGGCTGAAGCAATAGGCATCCACTCATGGAGAAAATATAGTTGTTCTCGAGTGGAAGCCTGCCTTTTGGCCAAAAGGCAGTAGACATCCGGATGAAGAACCCTGAGCTATGCTTCTCCTCCCCTGATCAACCTCAACACCAATTAATCTTAGCTGTTGAGTGACCTAATTGGACAGTTGTACTTACGACCTTTATTATTATCATGATTAATAATGGCTTTATTTAATATTATATTTTGGTACAATATAGAATTGTCAGCAAGAGATATTTCAACGAGTTTCTTTCGTAAAAAGCAAGAAAAGAAAAAGGTGAAAAAAGATCTGAATGTGTACAACTTTTCAAATTAGACATATGTTTGAGAATACAGGTTATTGACTAGGTTAACTCTAACAACCTGTTCGTTACAGAGTATTCTTGCTGGGTAAGGTATTATATAACTTTTATACCTTTGCTTGCGTGCATGGATTTTAATGTATTTATGTCTTGTTCTACCAGAAGATATATAAGGAGAAAGATATGAGTGAAAGGGATAGTTAGTATCTGATATGATAACACCTGCCAGGAGTTTGAAAAACTTTAGATGTCTATCCATAGTCATATTAATAATGACCTCGAAAGATTCACCACACACCTTGCTAACTACCTTCAGCACTCTCCGCAATACGGCAAAGTCTTTTCTCAAATGTAATTGTCCCTATTATCTTTATTCACAAATCTTTGTGTTATTATTATTATTACTATTGGTTAAACGTGATCATTATTCTCCCCAATACATTTACTTCGCATTCATCCCAGCTTATTATGTCTCACTAATAATTTTTTACACAGTATAGTCTTCCATTTAATATTTGGTCGAATTGTAATTGCACTATTATTTCTCTCACCCTATCTGACCCATACTTATTCGGATCATAGATCTTAAATTTTCACTTAACATATAAGCTGATTCAAACTGACATTTTATATGAGACATATTAACATTAACAATTTTATTCTATTTTGTTTAACAGTTCTAAATTCAAAGCAATTAGTCTGTTTGATAAATTTCGGTAATGTAATAAGAAGACAAAAATTATCAGAACTTCTGAGTAGACGAGAAGATGGTTCAGTCAAGCGATCCATTTTTAGAAAACCAACATGGACAGGTCAATACCTTAGTTATTATAGTTATTGTCCTGTGCAATATAAACGTGGTTTGATAAGGTGTCTGTTCAACAGGCTTGATCGTATTCGTACAAATGACGCCATTGATGATGATGTTAGGTTGCTGAATAAAACATTAATAGAAAATGGCTATCCTCTGAAATTCATAAATAGATGGAAAGTCCATGGTACAGTGAGACTTACTGTGGTCTTGCTAGAAAAAAAACTTGTCTACATCACCTTACCATTCAGAGGCGATTCAAATAGCCTTTTATTGCAACAAAAGCTTAAATAACTTGTCAAAAAAGCGTATTACGCAGCAAAGGTCATTATCAAAGAAAGAAAAAGGTGCATGCTTCATCCAAAACCTAAAAGACATGAAAACGGTTGTGTCACACCCCATTGTGTTTACCAATTTAAATATGTGTATGATCACACATACATAGGGAGGAGCAATCGTGATCTCGAAATTAGGGTGTGTGAACATGTACCAAAATGGTTGCAGAAACAAATACAATCAAGTGACTTAATAAGAGCAGAGGATAAACATCCATCATCCTCTATTGCTAAACATATTATAATAAAATAGGCCATAAGATTGATCTTAACTCGGCTTTTGTGACGTTATGTAAAAGTATAGAAGGGCGTATACTGAAGAAGAATGTATTTGTAAAATCTCAGCAAAAGAATTCGAAATAAATCCAACGTTTCGCCTGGCAATCCAGCCCAAGCTTTTTTCAAGGAAAGTTCATGACTGCAATCTGTCGGGGCATAGGCCGAGATGACGAAAAGACATCGTTTCTCGCGCCGATTTCTTCTCACTTTGATGGAATTTTCTAATCTAACGGCACATAACCGACTGTTAATGGGGATCCAACCGATTAATGTTTTGGGAGTAATAATGCACTTAACCCTTAACTTAACCAATTTTCGGATTATTAATTCGGATATATAGATTGTGGAACCTGAAGAGAATTTATCGAAAACAATATTCTTCCTTCAACTATTAGTCTTTCAGTAGTTGAAATCATGAGTCAATTCAAGCTAAACCCTAACCTGCAAGCATTGAACGGCCATTTCGTCCTAGTGTGCGACTCCTCAGCAGTGAACATCCACGATCCCGCCCCCCACCCACAAGACTCGAACCCGACACCTATCAGTCTCGTAAGCGAGCGCTTAACCATTAGACCACTGAGCCAGCTGGAATTCAACGGTGTTAATGTATAACTTCAACCAATCCACGAAATCGCGCCACCGTACACCATTGCTTTCAGTGAGCTGATATCTCACAACAGACCTAGTTGAACTGCACTGGTAACGGCTTCTCACTAGAACTCCATGAAATGCCTCTTGAAATCAGTCACTAGTGAGCAGATGATTATTATCAGAAGGGGTTATGTGGAGATTTTAATAATTTCAATAGTGGTTAAGCGCTCGCGCGGGAGACTGACAGGTCCTAGGTTAGAATCTTGGGGGGGGGTATCGTGGATGCGCACTGTTGAGGAGTCCCATACTAGAACGAAACGGCCCTCCAGTGGTTCCAGGTTGACTGATGGTTTCAACTATTGAAATTACTAAAATCTCCACTAAACCCTTTCTGACGTTGGTCTTTTAGTAATGGGAATGAAACCATTATAAAAATGACATATGATGTGAAAGTCTAAGAAGTACATCGCAATTCACTAATAAGTTGTTTAAATTACATCAAGATAAACTGTATGATATAAAGTAGATAGTAATGAATTTATGAAATGTAACATTTAATATTTAAAATGTTATGAACGTTTATGTTGTCATTATGAAATCACTTTAAATAATTAAGATAATGGTTTCGTCCTACTGTGGTGTATCAACAGATATAAGTAGTATATATCATCAATCGAAAGCGGAGTGCCTGGAAACAGAAGGTTGAGAAAATTAAAGAGAAGAGAACGAGAACATAGAGGGATTGGTATGGAAATGAAAGAATAGTGAAGTCTGAGACAATTGATTAACATTTTGCAACTGAAGTATTTAATGTATATATCACAGATTTTACCCAGATATACTGTAATGTTGTTTTAAAATAAATTTGATTGTCCCCATTGCTGTTCTCGTTTACTACACTACTTACTTAAAGAACATTTGCTACTTACACTATGCAAAAAATATATATGTACGTAAAAGTGAACACTTTATCAACTGAACAATACACTTTCCAAGCACAATAAATGATTTACACTATTACATACACAGATAACTTTACTTATAATAATTATTTACTGGTCAGCAGAATAGAATAGACAATATAGAACTGAGAACAACTTTAATGTTAAGAAATTTGCAAAATTACACAACTATTTATTTCGCAGGTTGAAATCATGAGTCAATTGAAGCTAGACCACCATGTAAAACCTGTAAGCACTGGATTGCCATTTCGTCCTAGTATAGGACTCCTCAGCAGTGCCATTTATTTGACTACAGGCTGTGATACTTGAAAAAAAAACAATATCTCATTTCTTGACAACATTTTCTTGCAAATGATACAAAACACTTCTACTGTAATAAGGATTACTATGTGTAAATATCCC